TGATAATTATATATTCCAACATTTCAACTCTTCATAACACCATTTCGAAAAAACATCTGCGTCTGCGTGAAAACAAGGTTTAAGGGTTCAGCTCTGCCACGGTAGAAAAGAAAAGGCATCATTATTGTGAACAGATATTTCATGACACAGTAAGAAATGTGCTTAAATTAAACACTAACTAAAGCAAAATTCAAAATGCAGATACACTGATAATCTGTGCTCAGTCGGCAGTGTAACGCCAGAGTAAATGCATTAACAATGATTCTTGTCTAGTTGTTTTGTATTTAAGCGAACAGAACAAGCCTGCGCTGCCCGAGAGAAGCTGATGATCCCGACAATGTCATGGTCCTGGAGTACCGAGGCTGAACTGAACCCTGTAATATGAGGCTATGAGAACAGACTGAACCGAGTAATCTCAACCATCTTCCGCACAATCAATAACCGACAGTGTTAAACGCCAAACTCTCTGATAAATGTTTTGTATATAGCAGTATGAATATAACGTAGTTTTAACATACAAATAAAAACAAAACAGTAGAAGGTGGGGGGGTAGGGAAGCTATGACTGCGGTTGATGTTGAGGAGATGGAGGTGTGTCCGGATCTCCTCCCACCACCCGTCTGTCAGAGCTGATGTCCAGCTCCTCGTCCACCTGCTCCAGTTCACTTTGGTCCAGAAGCTCAAAGTCCTCTTCCTCGGTCCCAACAAGTGTGTCGTCATGCATCTCCTCGCTGGAGCTTCGGATTATCGTGATCGCGTTTTCCTGTTCTTCATCAGGCCCCAGCGCGCCTATTGTAGTGACTGCAGTGTCAGCGGTGGTGTCGGTGGGTGGGGTGGAGGTCTCAAAAGCGCCCGGCGGTGTTTCAGTGGGAAGGAACTCGGCCACGTCCTCGCTGGCCTCGCTGGATGACAGCAGCGCCGACAGAGTGTTCTGCACCACTGTGGAGATGGCTGTGCTCACTATCTCCTCGCTCAAGGCCTCCAGGGACCTCTGTGCACCCTGGGTCACAGCAGCTTCCTTCTCCTCTCCCCCCTCCTGCCTCCCTGCCTCCTCTCGTGGGCCTGTCCCTGGCAACATGCCCTCATCAGCCCCGGGTGGCCGTCCGTGTCCGTTGAAGTGCGTGTTCACAAAGTGGAGCGGGGACGCCAGGTGCTGGATGAGGAGGCTGGCGGGGCTCAGCGGTTCTGCCTCTGACTGAGCCCCAGCCTGGGCACCGTCGACCTGCCCGGGAGCTCGCAGAGGGAAGTGGAGCAGGTGGTGCTCGATGGACGGGAACTCCTCGACTGAGGGGAACTCAGGGAGATCACGAAGGTAGGACTCCTCTGGGTCGCTGTGTAAACTCTGCTGGTCCAGATCTAGGTCCAGGTAGAGATGAGACAAAATAATGTCAAGACATTCAAACAGCTAAGCCAACTCTAAGTAAAAGACTTAAAAGAGTTAAAATGACTCAAACTTTGACCTTCCTCCTAAGCAAACAACTACTTCTGTGATTATTTACCTTCAGAGACGTCAGTGAGTTGAGGAGTGGTGGCTCTGGACACGGAGAAGCCTCCACTCTCCAAGATGGACGCCTCCTCGTCCGACAACTCCGAGTCTGTGATGGCCATCGCCAGAGCTGTCGTCTTCACATCCACCTGAGCAAGTACACAACAGTGTTCTCATTACATGTCTACAACAACACACACACATCATCTTTCTAGTTCACGCTTACAGTCGTTTTTCATGTGTATTCTGAAGGTGGCACTGTTTTCTGTAGGTCCTAATTCATTCCACAGACAAAGCATATTTACTGAAAACCACACATTAACGTAGTGGCGCTTAGAGAATGTGGTCATACTTGAAAGAAATATTTATTACACAACACTTCAGGGCTCACAGTGTCCATACCGTTGGGGCAAAAAGAGACAGCTCCTCCTCGCTCTCACTCTCTGTTTCGGCTCTTGGCTCGTCCCCCTCTTCCAACTCTTTCTTCACCTCTGTTAAAAAAACAAAACACACACACACACTTACAAAGCTGCAGAATACAAAGTGTAACAAACAGTACAAGAGAAATGTGATCTGGGAACAAATGTAAGCAGATAATCTTCTAATCACACACTTTGTTTAAGGTCAACATGGTTGGGTTAAGCTGCATCGATTAGTTCCCCCGTGCATGCTTAAACCCCCTATTAATGTTACGCTAATGTCCAGAAATCTGCAATCTGTAACCTCGAGGTGTCACAGCAGCACTCACTCCTCTTATCGTGCTTGCGGTGCTCGGTATTTCCCTTCATGCTGTAGTCCAGTTTCATCAGGATTGGCTCCAAGCCTGTGTACATCCTCTGGATCAGTTCGTGGTACACCACGAGCGGCCACAACAGCACGCTCAGGACTGAACAGGCACATGGAAAAAACATTTGAGAACCTTGTGGTCTTTGCAAGTACCACGACTAGTACGCCGTGTGCTTCTGCACATGGTGTACATTCTAGTATCCAGTTACCTGATCTATGAATGCGATATGACAAGATACACCACTAAGGTAATACCATAACATAAGCAATATTTAGGTGTTTTATACTATTAAGGACTCACCTATAATATAAGAGATCATGATTCCTGGTACATAATGTCCAACCACGGCAAGTACAAAGCAGCTACTGCACATCAGTACACAGAACTGAAAACCAGAACAGAAGAGAAATAAGCTGAAAATCACCCTCAGGCTGCAAAGCATACAAAAGTAAGAAGTGAAAGGTAGTGTTGTGTGTGTTTGTGTATGACAGTAGAGTATGTCTAAAAGCTTTCTTGTAGCTGCCTACATCAGACGCAAACCTAGGATTTAAAAGGGTTTTCAGTCTTTTGTTGTTCGTGGTTAGCAATGTGTATTTTGCACAGTGTTTGGCTCTGTCAGCTATCAAACCTGTACAAGATAACCTGCGTGTACACAGACTCTTTAGCCGTCAGACATTTGAAATAAAACGATACTTTACAGATTTACTCTCAAAACAGAGAGAAACACTGTCAAGAGTGAGCGTCAAAGTGCTGTACTTTGCCATGGTTCTGTTGCTTGTACTGCAGCATCTCCTGCAGGTACAGACAGCACGTCAGGTAGCTCTCAGCCAGGTGGTGGCTCAGCTCAGGAACACTGAGCAGATGCTGCTCCACACCCATTGTTTCACTGTATGCAGCAAAGAACGCACACACACACAAACAAGCACAGAAAGGCAGCGATTAAACCACTTGTAAAGAACAAAAATCCAGGTTGTATGATTCCATGCTGATGGTATGTAAGCAGAGGGAGGAACACAAATAGAACGGATATAACCAGACCAGACGTCTAACAGTAGTTAAAGTGATATGCTGTCACAGGCGAGAAAAATGTCACCCAGTCATAAAGAGACTTCAGTGTTAGAATTTGACATAAGCTGTTATTTTGAATTGTTTCGTTGATAAAGAACCTGTGTTTACACTAGTATGTTTATCGTGTACACACCACACACCTTTGCACAGGGTGAGCCTCTGCTTGTTGAACTGCCGTGGGAGGAAAAACACACAATTAGGGGGAGGACAAGAGCAACGACAAATGCATGAATTTGGTTGGAGCCATTTGGGCTTTTACAAATATTCTTCACTCTGTAGTTAAGCTCTTTATATTCTGTTTACACTGAATATACTAGTTCCATTCCATTTATATTTACAAGCATTGCATGTGTACTTGTTATTACTTTACTGGTGTCTATTTTTGACTGACACATCAAACATATCTGTCCCTCGACTAATAGAGGATTATTTTACCTTATGGCTTTAAATGACAAAACCTGAGAAGCAGATTTAAATCACCATTACCAGTGACGATGGGCAACTTGGGCTTCCATCTCTCCAGGAGCATGAGTCCCAACAGGGAGACACTCAGGAGGAAGAGGGGCCGCAGGGAAGTGGAGGACAGGAGCCTGTGGAGATAAACAAGCTATCAATCGATACACTTGGAAAGGCTGTTAGATCATTCTGCACATTGTATTTGATAAACTGATCAACAAGGAACTTCCTCATCTTCTACATTCTGTCAGATGTCACTGACAGCAGGTGATCAGGGCCTGGGCCACTCAGCATGACATGAGCGTTTGCTAGCATGAAGCTCCACAAATGCTAACAGCTGTAACAACTCAATGCAACGCTGGTTTTCTGTTTGGCCGACACAAGAACATATTTCCTGATCTTCTGTGGCGCTTAAAGACGTTTTGACGAGGCTGGAAATTAAGTTTGAATTGGCTAATATGCTGCGTTAGCACTGGGCTAAGGACGTGGGATTAGCTAACTTGTTTTGACATGCCCTCGTAATATCCCTGCTGACGTTAGCCCAGCTAGCTGGCTAGCACGGTGTGGGGGTGTGGGAGCGGTGTCGAACACGGATGTTACCAGAACAGCGTGTTGAGCGTCAGGGCCACGGAGATGCTGCACAGCGGCCTCTCCCACACCAGCAGCCTCTGGAGCCACAGCAGCGGCGCCTCGTACGGCGACAGCCAGCCCTGGAGGCGCTCCCGCAGGCGGACGAGCTCCGGGTTCCCGTCCCCGCAGGCCTGCTCCGACGCCCCGGCGGGGAAGAGCGACTCCAGGCCGACCGAGGAGGAGGGAACCGAGGGGTGTCTTGTGGCCTCCTCTCCGCTCGCCATGTTTCTCCCACACTTTGTTGTGTTGTTTTGGAGATCACGGGAACGGCAGCGTCAAGCGCCACGGAGCTCACATTGACAAGCATCCGGTTATACCTTCAAAATAAAACAGGAATGCTGATGAATGACTATTTATTTATTTAAAGTTAAAAAAAAAGACTCAAAACTCAAAAAGGCTTAATTTACAACTTCAAATTGTTTTTGCAAATGTGGCAATTGAACGTGGTACAGAAAGTACAACTTAATTTATTGCATGCTGGTTTTCATATATATGTACAGATTGGGATTACAAAAACACAATTCTGTTTAAAAACTCAAATCCTATATTTGTTTCACAGCTACTGCCTCATTTAGTATTATAAGCGTGTTTTACTTTGAAGACAGGGAGTTTCCTTTATTTTAATTTCTGTCAACTTGACTCTTGCACAGATGGGCGTGCGGGTCAGATGAGAAGATCTAGTCACGTGTTTCCTGTTTACTGTAGGAGAGGTTTTACAGCTCCAGGGCTCCACCGTGTGGTCAGAGATACCTCTGCATGAAGGTTGCGTAAAGGTGACACTTTTATTAAAAGATCTAGAAACTATTGATGATCTCAACTGTGCATGTGTTCATAGGACTAGACATTGAAATAAATGTGTG